CACGTGGTATCAATACAATGTTTAATGTTCTCTGAGGGTTTGGATGAACACTATATGCCTACACCGTGCATAGTGGAGCATTGGTGGGAATTGGAGTCACAGAAACTTGGAGGAGAAGWGCTTTGAGGCGTGTTTGAAAACACTATCTTTAAAGTGTTATTTTCCCTCGCTCAGTTTTACTGAGTTTACTATTGGGTTACAAGCAAATCCGTTCCCAAGATACAATAGAGCCTTGGGCGAGAGTCTGCAACCAGCAAAGTTGAAGAGTCTCTAAAGAAACCTTCTGTGAGATAGTAACATATCGAATAGAGAGAGAAACAAGAGTGATTTTTGAAAAGCTTATGTTCAAATGCTTGATTCACACTCCTTAAATAGTTTTTGAAGAGTCGTGGAGAAGATGAAGGTGTTGGTTCAGAAAAAGCTCTTTGAACCATCACAATTTCAAACATTGTGACTGTTAAAAGGTAATTAATAGTTAATGATTGTTAACTTTGAATAATGTCTCTTGATCAAACCCGATTGGATTGGTGGTAAGACCTTAAACAAATTACTTTTAAGACAGACTAGAGATAATCATAAACATAAAATGTTCTGTCTTTACAAGAGTTTTGAATTTTGCTTAACCGTTATGGCCATGTGCTTCTTTCTTGGTTTCATGAATAATCTCGAGAGCAAACCCAAGCTCTCATGAGAAATGACACCACATCTATGTTTACATAGGTTAAGTTTCAYTATGTGTTTCATTACTTGACACATTTTAGAACTTCATTAAGAATTTAACTCAACATTTCATCATAATGGACAACACTATTTATGTTGCAAAGGGAAATTTCTCAATGTTAGTGCTAATAGTCACATCATAGTAACTTATTGTTACCCGTTAAACCCAATACTGATGCTTATCAGTTTAGGTCGGGTTACCATTACTAGTGACTAAGTAAAGGGTTTTAATCCCATATCTTTAGTTGTCGCTCTTACCAATTCTTTAGGTAAACCTTTGGTAAGAGGATTAGTCAAGTTTTTACTTGACTTCACATAACTTATAGTGATTACTCCATGTTGAATCARTTGCCTAATAAATTCATGTCTTAGACTTATACGTCTAGACTTACCATTATAGGTACCACTATAAGCTCTCGACAAAGTTGCTTCACTATCACA